TCTTTTTTTTTTTTTTTTTTTTTTTTTTTTTTTTTTTTTTTTTGAGACGGAGTTTCGCCCTTGCTGCCCAGGCTGTAGTGCAATGGCGCGATTTCGGCTCACAGCAACCTCCGCCTCCCGGGTTCAAGAGATTCTCCTGCCTCAGCCTCCCGAGTAACTGGGATTACAGGCATGCGCCACCATGCCCGGCTACTTTTCGTATTTTTAGGAGATACGGGGTTTTTCCATGTTGGTCATGCTGGTGCTGAACTCCCGATCTCAGGTGATTTGCCCGCCTGGGCCTCCCAAAGTGCTGGCATTACAGATGTGAGCCACCGCGCAGGCTAAGGTGGTGCACTTTTACCGAAACTACAGAAACCGCTCTCAGACACTGTAATATGGAGTGGAGGGTGCTCGTTCATGCTCACCTGTCTCTTAGTTCTCTGATCTCTGCACGGTGCTGACGGGTCTCAAACTGCAGAAACCTCGAGTTCTTGACGTTCCAAGTGTCATAAACTTGAGGAAAATGAAATTATTCATCAGGACTACAAAAGGCTCAAAGTTCAAACCACCTGGGGGTGGAGATGGCTGGAAAAAAGGAAACCATTAACAAGTAATTTTATTTGCTATATATAAACTTGCCCTAAGGCAGTTCAGATAACTTCCACTAGAGCAGCCCGAGACATCACCGGCGGTGGCATTTTCTCCCCCGACTGCGCCTACTGCAGCCTTTCCGAGGTTTTTCCTAGCGAGGCCGAGGTATTTGAGGAATACCCCGCATCAGGACACACCTTGAGGGAAGGCGTCAAACCCAGAGGCATAGAAAAGGTGAGGGCGGAGAGCACGTCTCTTTCTGGCTGAAAGTGAGCAGCGTTTGGCCCAGCACCAACCGGAATGGGTGAAGAATCAGCTCCGGCCACCGCAGCAAATCCCACCCCACGCGGGAACTTGAAGCTCCGGCACTTAGATCCCGCGGTGGCGGGGCTCCACCAGGCCCCGGTTGCCACCAGAGGTAGCCGTAAACCCACGGTTCCCGAAACTCCTTCCGGCCCTCCCAGACAAAAACTGGGACAACCTTCTTAGGTCCCCGGGATCCCCGCTGTGCCACCGGCCCGCCCGCGAGTCCCAGAGTTTAGGGCCAGGGGCCCCGCCTACCTGAGGGCCCTGGCCTGGCGGACCGCGCCGAAGGAGCACTTCCGCCGGTCGCACGCACTTCCGGCCTGCTGGAACCAATGAGAGTGCGGCCGAGGTGTTCCCCTCGCTGGCGTCCGGGCCGCGGGTGGTCTCCGGGAGCATTGGGGCCGGCGGACAGTGAGGGCGCGGTAAGCTCCCCGTAAGGAGCCCTTGAGAAACTGGTCTATAGGGGAGTCAGTCCAGGACCCCTTTTAGTCCCAGACATAGGGGAGTACAAGATAGTGGAGTCTTTAGGGTAGAACATGACTCGAGGCAGGCTCATTTTCAAGTTTGGGGCAAGGAGCATTGATTGACCGTTAATTTTTTTCAGTGGAACCAAAAACTTGGGTAAAATTGCTTCTGACCTTCGGAACGGATGGATTCACCTTGGAGAGGAAAAATCCCTTTCTAGAAAAGTCCTGAGGTCTGGCACCCTTAGGCTTAACGGGGGATGGCTGGGCGTCAGAGGAGGAAGTCCTTCATTCGGAATGACTTCCCTTTCCTCCTAAATCCTTTCCAAATATGTAAAAGACCACCTCCACGTTCCTGGAAGTGGTTTGCCACTCATGCTCCTTGAGAAGGAGGTAATGAGCTGTTGGGCAGCATTTAAAAAGTTACCCTTGACCAGATCGGTGGCTTACACCTGTAAACCCAGCACTTTGAGAGGCCGAGGTGGGAGGATCGTTTGAGCCCAGCCTGGGCAACATAGTGAGACCCCCATATCAAAAACTTAAAAATAAAATTACCCAGAAACTGGGTGGAAACCATTTAATGATGTTCTCAGTCCATCTTCCTGAAGTAATCCACAGGACAACATCAGTGTTCGTGGTAGAATTGTTTCATAGGGGCAGTCTTTTATTTTTTTTTGAGACAAAGTCTCACCCTGTCACCCAGGCTGGGCTGCAGTGGCATGGTCTCGACTCATTGCAACCTCTGCCTCCTGGATTCAAGCAATTCTCCTGTCTCAGTCTCCCGAGTAGCTAAGATTATAGACACGTGCCACCACGCCCAGCTAATGTTTGTATTTTCAGTAGAGATGGGGTTTCACCATGTTGGCCAGGCTGGTCTCGAACTCTTGATATCGTAATTCGCCTGCCTCAGCCTCCCAAAGTGCTGGGATTACAGGTGTGAGCCACCTGTAATGGCTTTTTTTTTTTTTTTTAAGTAACACTGTCTTGTTAAAAAACAGGAGCCTGTGTTGCCCAGGCTGGAGTGCAGTGGTGCGATCATAGCTTACTGCAGCCTTGAACTCCTGGGCTGAAGTGATCCCCGGGCCTTGGTCCCTCAAAGTGTTATGGTTATTACCACAAGCCACCGCCAGGCCTGGAGTCTTTGAAGTTAGTTATATTTCAGCTACCCAGGACAGACTTCTAACTTTGATTGCCACAGAACTCTACCAGAACTAATTGTTTCCCTTAGTTCTGTCTGATTGTGGAATCTCTTATTACCATCAGTTGTTTTTCAGAGTTACAATTTAGATATGAAACAATTTTTTTTGTTTGTTTTTGTTTTTTGAAACAGGGTCTCACTCTGTTGCCCAGGCTGGAGTGCAGTGGCAGGATCCAGCTCACTGCAACCTCCCCTTCCCAGGTTCAAGCTATTCTCCTGCCTCAGCCTCCTGAGTAGCTGGGACTACAGGCACCTGCCACCAGTCCCAGCTAATTTTTGTATTTTTAGTAGTGACGGGGTTTCACCATGTTGGCCAGGCTGGTCTCAAACTCCTGAGCTCAGGTGATCCACCTACCTCTGCTTCCCAAAGTGGTGGGATTACAGGCGTGAGCTACGGCACCCGGCTGTGAAACCATTTTTCTAGCCCACCTTAGAGAAGACTGTTGACACACTAGTTGGAATGGTTGCAGTAGCCTCCTACCTTGCAAGACACTTTAGATTCAAAGAATTTCCTTTGTAAAAGTTGGCCAGGCACGATGGCTCATGCCTGTAATCCCAGTACTTTGGGAGGCTGAGGTGGGCAGATCACTTAAGGCCAGGAGTTTAAGACCAGCCTGGTCAACATGGTGAAACCCCATCTCTACTAAAAATACAAAAATTAGCCAGGCATAATGGTGCATATAATCCCAGGACTCGGGAGCCTGAGGCATGAGAATCACTTGAACTCAGGAGGTAAAGGTTGCAGTGAGCCACAATCACACCACTGCACTCCATCCTGAGTCATAGCGCAAAACTCCTTCTCAAAAAA